CAGGATCCACTCTCACGGCTCTCGGCGGTGCTTCGGCGAGTCTTGTAGCGGCTTGTCGACGAACAGTGGGAACCCGAGTTGTGCTGATCAATTTGGATAAAAAAATAGCTCCAAAGTTGCTCCGTCCCGTAAAAGCTTATACCATCAGTTTCTCTCCTTCCACTCGCTAGGCCTATAGATCACCATGTTCTACCGAACCTTGGTTAAATCAATTCCTTCAACATCCACCATTTTGATAGCTTCAAGTACTACTCGTGAAGTACTATTCTAGCAGAACGGAATCGCATCTAGACTAGAGGCTCAAGTTGGGCGGCTTGTGGCCGGCCAGCTCTCGTCTCAACCACAATCAAGGTTCAAAATTACGGTTTTCGTAAAATACAGCCCGTTTTTTACGGTGATATTTCAAAAAAACGGCCGTTTTTTTGTTAGAGAACTCTGTTCACCAAGAAAAAAAACCCCAAAACAAGGTCAAAAACATTTTCAATCATGCCAACAAGCGCATACATGCAAGAAGGGGTCCATCCCCTTCATGCTGCTGCAATTCAAGTACAATTTTGTCCCACTAAGTGGCCGTTTTGTTAGTTAAACAGGAGGAAACACCTCCTGGAACCGTTTAAACCGTTTTTTACGACCGTGTTTTACGATACCGTTTTTTACGGTAAATTTTCAAAAAAAGGTAGTTTTTTTTTACCCCCCACAATGGCCCAGTTTCGATTTATGAGCCAGGTTGGATCGGCTTGTGTTGATCCGATCCGACTTGTCACAACATCACAAAAATCAAGCAGCGAAATTCCTCCCGAAATGAGTTTGTTCAAACCTTTTCCAAATGATTTAAAAACGTAGGGTTGGGAACTTTTTAAGAAGAAAGTATCGAAGTTTTTCTAGATGTTGTGTCAGATGCTTTCCAGATGATTTCACACGTTTCGAGAGACTTCGGAAGAAGGCAACCCGAAGTCAGCCTTGACTATGCAAGAAGTTCCGCAAAACCCTTTAATGTAAAAAGGTGGATGCCATAACAACTCTTTATTGTATTGGAAATGAGCTAGAATATAATTTCAAAATATGCAATGCTATAATCTGTAGGTGGTCAATTTCAACCATTGTAAACACCGAAAATCAATAATTTGATTTAATTATGACATTACATCAAGACAAATGGTTACGCAAAGCTACCAGAGACCTAGTCGCCTACACATGTTCCATCACGTCAATAATTTAGGCATGATCTTGGCAAAAAAACGCGGTTGAACCTGAACAAACAGCACCGCCTGCAGCTAGCAACGATTTCAGCAGGTGAGGTAAACCAAATAAAAGCAGTTTTTAAGAAACCAGCGGCGATTAAATCGTGTGCTTACCACGATTGCAATCTGTGAAGAGTTGTGAATTAATAAAAGGAAATCATCGACATAACGAACAAACGAGATTGTTAGATTAAATATCAAAACGGATTAACGCATGAGTAGATGGTGACGCGATCAATAAGATAACCCCGCGACCTGTGAAAAGTGAACGGAAAACTGACGCGGGGACCTGCATATGCGCATCCAGAAGTCAGTACGAGGTGAGAAATGTCCTGACTATTCGTAAGTGGATGGACTTCATGAAAAAAGTGACACGCAATAAATGCGGTTCGCTGGTGATAGGGCAGCAAATCGCTAGAAGCTATGGCGGAAGTGACCAAGAGACTAAGCGAAGGAAGTACGAGGAACCAAACTAACGAAGTCAGAGCCACCAAGGAATAATAAAAATTACGGGAAGTGTCTTCCACCTTTGAGCTGGTGTGAAGGGAGAGTGCTAAAGTTGCGCAGGGGATGGTTGGGTTGGGACACTACCATAGCTGAGCTGGATGTTGTCTAGGTGGGTTAGATGGGCGGCCTGGATTGGTTGGGCTTCTGAGCTGGATGGAGCAAGGCAACATGGATTGGTTGGAATTATTTCTGGGTTGGTTGAGGCATGGATTGGGTAGGGTAGGGAGTGATCGAGGGCAGCTGGATGAACGGGGGGTGGAGCGCAATCAGTGGGGGGTGGGGAGCGCGATTGGTGGGGGTTGGAGCGAGATTTGCTGGATATCGAGGGTGTTTGGTGGGGGTGCTGCTGGCGAAGGTTTGACTCTAATAATTGTTTCGATACTTACAGCTGTTACAAAATTACAGTTACAGATACATTCTTCATTTCAGATCGATTCACTTAAAAACGAGAATCATAATAAAACATTGAGGTTTCGTAACTCAATAAGGAACTAATTAACGTATTTCAAGAATGAAAATCGAATATTCAAACATAAACATAACTGTCAGCTTTTTAAGAAAAAACCGATTGGCGACGCCTTTCATAGTCGCACTCTACTTGTCGTGGTAAATGTATGGCGAGATAGGGAATAAAACAGAGTAAGAGATGCCATCACCAATATATTGTGAAAACCCTTTCTAAACGTCTGTAAAACATCTGGGCCGCCAAAACGATTACAAGAAGATTCTAAGAAGATCTTCAAACGATTTTCAATCACAAGTGCCCAAATCAAATGGTCAGATGATTTACAGATGTACACATTTTTGTGATGAAGTCGGGGAAACAACAAGCTCATCCCAGCTCGCTCGAGCCAAGCAGGCTCGGCTCGGACCCGTGCTCAGGCAGGCCGATGGCTAAGGCTGGCTGGTCAATGGGTGGGCAAGGCGATGTGGGTTGGACGGGGTGCAAAGGTGGACAATGCGTGTCGTTTAAGTTTGAGCAACACTACCTTCCCTTTCCCCCTTGTGGTTTGCTCAAGCTCTCATTTCCGGCAGCCTGCCCTCATTGCTGCTGTAATTTTCTCCTCACAGCGATCTTGCGAGCAACCAGCTGCCAGGCAGCATCCCTGCCACCGTGACTGCCCTCAGCCTTCTGAAATATCTGTGAGTGTGATGCACACCTCGCAAGACCCTGTCACAACTGTTGCCCGTTCTGGTCCTCCCTCTCCCAGTCCGTGTTCACTCTGGTCTTCCTCTCCATCGCTTCGCCTCTGCCTCTTTCTGTTGCAACAATATCATCAGGTGCAGTAATATCATCAGGTGCAGCAATACCATCAGGTGCAGCAATATCATCAGGTGCAGCAATATCGCCAGGTGCAGCAATATCGTCGTTTGGCAACATCATCGGACCAGCGCATCAATGTATTCAGATGCAGCAGTATTATGAGGCACAGCAATATAATAAGGCGCAGCAATATTATGAGGCACAGCAATATTACCCGGTACAGTAATATCATTAGCATCAGGTATTTAGAGCAAAGCTACGGCTATGGCTGTACGACAATGGACACGCAACTACTGGTAAGCGAGGCGACTACATTTTGGGGCGGCTGGCTGGCAGGTTTGGATGAATAAGCGGGAGTGTGGCCAAAATAAGGGACGGAGGGTTGATGCCGAGAGTTGCTGATCAAGGTGGTTATCCGATCATGAGGTAAGTGGGAAGTCAGTGGTGCAGCCTTGTCTCGGTGTGTTCCTTCCTTTCACCCCGTTACCAGCATTGCCCTAGTGTATTCTGGCTGGGAGCAATGCCTCACATTCTCGCATTAACCGATGCAGTGGGAGGTTGACGGTGAAGGGCCCAATGAGGGCAGGCCTTAGTTAGGAGAGGTGATGGGAGGAGGGCAGCTGTAGGCGTCCACAGCAGCTGGGAGAGATCCAGGGCCATGCTGGCCACAAATGCCGGCACGACCTCCAGTGCTGTGTCAATTAGGACAGCCCACCCATTGACACCGGGAGGCTGGCGCTGGGCAATGCGCTTCGGGTACTCACTTTGCCCTCGTCACCAGCTACCGTTACCACCCTCATAGTGAAACACCACCCTGACTGGTCCCTTGCTTAGTTGGATCTTACGTGTCTGTTTACGTACGTTTTATTCCCTTGGCGCACCCCTGTCTCGCTGACTAACAGCCCCCCCACACACAATCCCTCTATCTATCCGTGCAGGTGGATATTCAACAATACGCTCTCCGGCTCTATCCCGGCTGGCATTGGCTCACTGACCAGCGTGATCTCCCTGTGAGGCTTCATCACTCTCCAGGGAGAATTCTTGCTTCTGCTGCTCTTGACCGCATCAACCGCCACTTTTCCACTGCTCTTACACCCTCTGCCAATGTTTGTTGTTAGAACTTGAGCTTAGAATCCATGCATTAGTAATGTGCTCAAGGCTCTTTAAGTACATTGGAAATGGGCAAGCTAAGATTGGAGAAAGAATTTGGGGCAATCCTAGGGAATTGGGGGTAATCCCAAGGCAATCTCCAATTGGTGGGTTGGGGATTGTTTGGAGATCACATTTGGGTTTGGTTGGGATGTGGGAACCAAACACAAAGTGCAAACTAAACTGGGATATAAAAAAGTACAAGTACAAATGTGAGATTGAGGGCTAACATTAACACCCCCCCATATAGAGTTGAGCAAGTGGCCCGACCCGGCCCGACCCGACTTGGCCGGGCCACACGGGCCCTCGGGTCGGGTCGAGTCGGGCCGGGCTCGGGCCAGAATCTTGAAGCCGCTGGCTCGACCCGGGCCTACACACTCAGGTCAAAGGGGACCCGGGTTCGGGTCGGGCGGGGTCGGGCCAGGCAGACCCGCCCCTTTAGGGGAGGCTGGGTTGTTCATCACAATTTGTACATTTTCTCTATTATACTTGTTATTACTATATTTTTATAATACATTGTTATTCTACCACTTGAAAGTGTGATGGTTCCATAATCTGTACAACACTTTCTATGACAAGTGAAATAAACTACTGGTTGACAAACGTACGAGGCGTCACCAAACAATAGTGTGATTGGGTTTTCCATTGGGTTCGCCACTAGCAATTGCAAATAGTTCAAGCACACTATAAACATGTCTGCCAATAAAAAACCCAAGGCTGCAACTGTCAATGCAAGCTACCGCACGTACAAGAAGGTCGCTAATAAATATGACGCACGTACACCTCGACAGCTACAATGACAAATCACACCGCATCAACTCTCTCCGAGCAACTGTCTCTCACAACCCCAACTGCTCTGCCTCAAGGCACAGCTGTGCTAGCGTGGTCCTAGTGCCACCACGAACCTCAAGCCTCTGTCCAGGGTGGTGATCCTGCCAAGTCTTGAGCATCATGGCCGCACGCATCTGCCGTGGGCTCAGACGGTGCCGCTGCCACCAGATGATGTCCCTGCTCTGACTGAACGCTCGCTCACTCGTTGCAGACGTGGCGGGGATACCCAGATAATCGAGTGCCATGGCCTTGAGCCCGGGCAGCTGCAGCTCCCTCCCGCGCCAGTACGCTAAGGCGCACCCACCGTCCTGCCTCGCCTCAGCTAGATACTGGTCCACCTCGTCCTGTGCCCGCACCCCCTCCTCTGCCTCCATCTCTACCAACTCAGCAAGCAGCCTAGCCTGAAAGTCGAGCACGCCACGCGACCTGGCCCCCCTGCGCCCTGCAGCCCCGCTCCTTGCCGCGCCCTCCCACGTCACTCCCCTAGCGCTCGTAACCTCACCACCAAGGCGTGCCTCTGCCGTTGCACGGACCGCTGTCGGTAGGGTGGAAGGCGCTCGCGTACGAGCGCCTTCACCCTCTCCTCGCTCAGGTCGAGTGTCCTGGCCCCCCTGACATGCCCCCCCGCCTCTACCACAATGGGCGCGCTAGTCCTCGCCCCCCGGGCCCTGAGCCTGAAGGTTGCCGTCTTGAGCCGAGGATCGAGGAAGGTGGCAATCGCCGCCTCCTCGCTCACCCCCCCCATGTGGCGCTCCAGCTTGCTCAAAGCCCGGTTTGAGAGGTCATTGCACAGCTGCGAGACGTCTGGCGAAACTCTGTTCCCCTCAAGAATATCCAGGAGCATATTGTACTGTGGCACGACCGATCCCATGGTGGGGTACAAAGACCCCTCCACGAACAGGGTGATGCTGTCAAACGGCTCGAGGAAAGCCCGCAGCTCGTTGAGAGCTGTCAAGTGAGCATCGGACAGCCTGATCTCTGCCCATACCGTGCGTGTGGCCTTGGTGATGTTTGGCTGAGAGGGGGAGAGAGGGAACGGATGGAGAGGGGTTGGGAGGACCTGAGAGCCCACATGGTTTGGATGTCCCAACCATTCGTTATAAGAACATGCACTCCAAAGTGGTTAAGAAATGAAGTGGAGGTGACATGCGGGAAGTACATGGTGACGTGATGGGGTTGGGAAGACTTAGGAGCCCACATGGGATGGATATCCCAACCATTCGTTATAAGAACATGCACTCCAAAGTGGTTAAGAGATGAAGTGGAGGTGAAATGCGGGAAGTACATGGTGACGTGATGGGGTTGAGAGGACGTGAGAGCCCACATGGGATGGATGTCCCAACCATTCGTTATAAGAACATGCACTCCAAAGTGGTTAAGATATGAAGTGGGGGTGTAATGCGGGAAATTCATGGTGACGTGATGGTAATCCCATACTTACGGTGGACTCATCGAAGTACATCGTGAGAGGAATGTGCAGCTCACACCCCCTCACCACCATCTCCAGCGTGGAACCCCAGCGCGTGTCCAAGTCAACGATCAGGCGCAAGTCAGCAGGTCTCTTGCGCGCACTGCTGCCCCCCTCTGCCTGCGTCGCCCCCCCCCTCTGCAGTGCCACCCTCTGCCTGCCTCTCCCCCCCCTCTTCAGTGCCCTCCTCTGCCTCCGTCGCCGCACGGCCAGCATCATACTGTTTCTGGATGTAAAAAAAACGCTCTGACCACTACACCGACCACCCGATGTAGCTAGTCACAGCTCGCAGCCTCCGGAGCGCCTCGGCCACCGGCTCAACCTTCATTGCGTACTGCACTGCGAGGTTCAGGACATGGGCCATGCACCTGGAGGGCAAGCATTGTCATACAGAGATGGGTATGATCCATTTTGGTATAGGGTCACTGGGGTACTTGGCATTACACGATATGCTACCAGGCACTTGTAGCAATAGCGGTTGGCACTTACCTGAAGTGCCGAGACAGGGACATCAGGGGGGGGACACGCGGACGTGACCCGGGTGTGTCGTCAGCGACGCCGGTCAGCAGACGAACCGCCCGGTTGTTGTTCTCGGCGTTGTCCGTGGTCACGCCGAAGAACTCACCACCACCCAATGCCCACTGCCCTATGACCTGCTCCAGCTCGTCCGCTATCTTATCCCCCGTGTGACGGCCCTCCAGCGGCCGGAAGTCGATCACCATCTGCTGCAGCTGGAAGTCCGAGGTGACTCGGTGAGCAGTCACCACCATGAAGGCGACGTTGTTCTCACTGGTCCATATGTCCGTGGTGAGTGTCACCCGCCCCGCCAGACCGTCCCTTGTCAACAGCTGTCGAAGCTGAGCCGTAGCCGACTCGCCCGCAGACAGCAGGTCCCGTGCAAGGCGGAAACGTGTGCCGAGATGCTGTGCCGCGTCGGGGTTCAGCAGGGTGACGAAGTCATGAAACTGCCATGTGGAGGGTCACAAACATGGTTGGGAGTGGAAGAAGAGAGTGGAGACAAAATATTGCGCACAGTACGTCAATGTATTCTCGATCGTGCGTGTGTACAAAATAGAATGCGCACATATCTTACTGCTGGCCTGTCAACAGAACGGAACGACAAGTCAAGGCCGGCGAACAGCATCACTAGGCCCTCGCGCAGCTGCCGCTTTCCAACCCGAGCCATGACATACTGATCGATGGTACCCTGCCTACCCCCCCGATCGGCGGCTCCTCCGGTCAACCCACTCGGCCGGGCCCCCGTCTCGGCTGCCGGAACGTCTGGCCATGTGTCACGTGCTCCCACGGCCACTTAGTCTTATCCGAACACTTGGACAAGGTCACGGATGAAGAAGTGCCGAAGTTCGATGTGCTTGGTGCGAGTGTGGTACACGGGATCCTGGGAGAGGTGGATGGTGCTCTTGTTGTCACACCAGAGGGTGGGTGTGGGCTGAGGGTAGCCAAGCTCCTGGAGTAGGAAGGTGAGCCAGCGGGCCTCCTGAGCTGCCATGGTGCCAGCATAGAGCTCTGCCCCACAGGAGGAGAGGGAGACCGCAGACGACCGGGTGGAGCGTCAGCTGACAATTCCGCTCCAAAGGGTGAAGCAGTAGCCTTGGGACGAGCGTCGGTCGGTCTGGTCATCAGCCCAGGAGGAGTCTGTGTACCCTTCCAGTCGAGGAGGAGAAATCCCATCAAGGGTGAGGACATGAGATTTGGTTCCCTACAAATAGCGCAGCGTAGCACCCGCTTTGCCGATTTCCAGTGAAGGTCAGTGAAGCGTCCAGGAGCCACATAGCGAGAGAGGACGCTGACAGGGTACGCCAGGTCAGGCCGGGTGCACATCATGACGTACATGAGGGACCCATCAAGCTCTGGGTATGGCTCACTGCAGGCTTCTAGTGTGGAAACAGCAGGAGCGGTGAGGAGGTGGTGTAGTGGCAGTGGGGTGGCCATGGGTGTGCACAACTCCTTCTCAAAGCGCTTGAGTACATTTTTGATGTAGAACTCCTGGAAGAGTGAGGTGGTGCGAGCCTGACGATCACGAGTGATTTCCATCCCCAGGTAGTGCTTGAGGTCACCGAGGTCTATCATCAGGAGGGCCTTGCTCAGGGCCGGCTGGACAGAGGTCATCTAGGCTGAGTCCTTAACAACGAGGATGAAGTCATCGACGTAGACAAGGATGTAGACTGGCTCAGAGTGATGGCGAATGAAGAGAGTCGGGTCAGCTAATGATGGGTGGAAGTCCAAGGAGAGAAGGACTTCTTTCACTTTGTTGTGCCATTCACGAGGGGCTTTTTTGAGGTCGTAAACAGGGCGATTCAGCTTCCAGACAGTGTTGGGAGGGAACTCTCCTGGAAAGCCTCCGGGTCGGTCCATTAGCACAATCTCCTTGAGGTGTCCTTGCAGGAATGCTGAAGAGGCGTCCATGGATTTGATCTCAAAGTCGTCTCGTGCGGCTACATGCAAGAGCGTGCGAACTGTGGGTGGTTTGGATGTGGGAGAGAAGGTTTTGAAGAAGTCAAAGTACTGCTGCTGAGTGAATCCCTTGGCCACATAGCGTGATTTGAACAGTGGTGCTTCGTCCGGAAGCTGCTTCACTCGAAACAGCCACTCGCCCCCAACGATGTTAACTCCTGGAGGTGGAGTTTCGTCGTCAAAGGAGTGGTTGCGGGTGAAGGCTTCACACTCAGCTTCCATGGCAGCGCGCCACTCGTCAGCATGGGGACCCGAAAGAGCCACTTGGACGGTGAGAGGGATAGGAATGGCCGGGTTCTTCGAGAAGTTGAGCGAGGGGGATTCAGTGATATCGGGGAAGATGTGCGAAAGCTGAGGAATGGCAGCGTGGAAATCACACAGCTCCTCATGCCTGTCTTCCAGAAGGGTAGAGGGCACACCCCCCCAGCAGGAGGAGTCGGAGCATCGAATGGCAAGTGCCAGTGGAGGAGCAGCCCCATGCGACCGAGTGCCATGAGCAGGCGTTCCTGGAGGGGACGGCTTAAGGGGCTTGGGGGGAGGGATCGGCCGTTGTTGGTACGTGATTAGTTTGCTCGGCTGTGGGAGAGCAGGTTCCTGAGTGGAGGAGGGAACCGGGGGAAGAGGTGGGGCAGGAGGGTTCGACCGCCGATGGTATGTGATTGGTGCACTTGGTGGTGGGAGCGTAGTTGGCAGAGTGGCTGTAGGGGGAGATGGAGGAGCAGTTGCCGAGGACACCGGAGAGGTCGGGTCAGAGACCTCAGACGGGGATGGTGCAATGGCAGGAAAATTTGAATCAGAGACCTCAGACGGGGATGGTCAGAGACCTGAAAGTGTTGACTGGTGTGCGTATTGTATCAAATTCAGAAAATTAATTTATAGTATTGTTTTCCTCTTTTAAAAACCACTGAAAGTTTTCCATTAGAGAAAAGTAAACCACCGTGGAAATATGTGATTGTAATGAATGCTATTCCTTCATTTGACACGGGTCAATGCCCTTGTGCTTCTCCATGTTAAAACCCAATGGTTTGGTTCTTCCTTTGTGCACTCAACTGCAATGACAGGTCCTTTAGAAGTAATCAGCTGACGGGTTCCATCCCTGCGGAAATTGGATCACTATCATCTCTCTCATTTCTGTAAGGTTCCCCTCTGCCACATGAGCATAAGTCTTGGCCGAGCTGGCTCGTCTCGAGCTGTCACGAGCCGGAATGAGCCGGATCCGGCTTTTCCACGAGCCAACTGCCGGGTCTTCCGCGCAAGTTCTTCGAGTCCGGCTTGTCTAGACAGCAGCCGAGCCACGGAGCATGATCGTTGGCTTCACGAGCCAGGGCAACAAGCCGAAGCGGAACCGACGGCTCAGACTTATGCTCATGTGTACTCCCCTCCCTACTATCTCGTCTCTCAACTTCCTCACCTCCTTTACCTCAACATTTCGTTCCTGTCTCTGACTCCATCCCGTTTAGTCATGAGCAAGTATTAGGGCTAGTGTGCGGTTAGGTTAGGGCTGGCCGATCCAAACCTGGACTGGTTTGGATCAAACCTAACCGAACCATATCTGGTTCGGTTCGAACCTGCCCAGTCCGACCAGTATTAGTCAAACTTTGAACTGGGCAATCCTCTTTCTGGTTCGACTCAGACAGGTTTGGTTCGGTAGACTGCTCATGCCATCCCTTCTAGGGATGAGCAAACGAGCGAACCCCTGTTTGGTTCGACAGACCTGTTCGAGTCGAACGCAAAACGTATTTGTTTCAAACAATATACTGTTCGGGTCAAACATGTTCGCCTCAAACACTCGAACTGTGTCGAACATGAACGTGTTCGAGCGTTTGAATTGTCGAAATCGAGCTTGCAGTGGAACGTCACTGGAAGGGGGGACCTCGAGGAGGACCTGGAGGAGGCTGTGGAGGGGATTGGAGGATGTGGACAGGGGTGATGGGGCTGTGGAAGGCGGGGGGGTGTGGTGGCTGCTGTAACCGAACATATTTGAGTTCGAGTCAAACACATTGTTGTTCGACTTCGACTTAAAACACCTATTCGTCAACAAATGGTCTTGGAACCATTCTTTCCATGCATTCACCCCTCACACCACCAACAGCTCTCTTGAGGCCAACATGTTGTCAGGATCTGTGCCTTCCTCGATCACAAAGCTCACTACTCTTACTTTCCTGTAACTTGGTTCCACTTCCACTTGAGCAACGAGTTGAACCGACCTGCTTGGGCCGTTTGCTCAATCCTTTCATGTGCCTAAAAGGGTTTTTCTGGTATGCGAATTATATCAAAATCTGAATTTTGTTTTTTTCCATAGTATTCTTTCCCCCTTCAATAACCACTGCAATTTTCGCAATTAAACCACTGCGACTAGTCCGGTCCGGACGAACCAGGACTAGTATTTGACGGAGGCGAAACGTACAAAGTCGGCCCATGGGCCGGCCAGGCTAGAAGTCAGCTTGACCCGAACTGATTGGAACTCGACCCGGTTTGGCTATCCATTAGGCTGGTGAGGTTTGAATCAAGTTGGCCCAAGTTTGACTCCTGTTGCTCATGTCTAATCTCATGCCAGTATCAGCGTCCTACCTACCTTCTCACCCATTTGTCAAACTCCTTGCACACCCCCCACGTGTCTCTTGCCTCCTTGTCTTGGACAGTTCCCTCTCTACCAACCAGCTCACCAACTCCATCCCCTCTAACATTGGCTTGCTGACAAAGCTGGTAACCTTGTAAGTAGGGATGAGCAAAGAAACGAACACCTGTTCGGTTCGCCTCGAACGCCGAACAGGTTTTGATTTTTAGCTTAAATTGTTCGCCGAACACTGTTCGAGGTTCGGCCGAACACGTTCGTGTTCGTGGCGCTGCTGCTGAACGCCCCGTGTCGAACAGGAACGTTCGCTTGGACACGCCTTCACAGGCGAACGCTGAACACCCTTTTTCGGGGAAGTCGTTCGTGTTCGGTTCCCCGAACGTCCATGTTCGTGCAAGGGCGAACGCGAACATGATCGGGTTCGCCCTTTGCTCATCCCTACCTGGGTTGAACCAAGCCAGGACGGCAAGAAAATCGGGCGACTGGTTCAGCTCGACCCGGGCTGGCCGAGCAGTCCCTTGGCCCGGGTTCGGCAATGAGTACTCCGGCCATTCCTTTGTCTGGTTCGTGTTCGGCCTGGGTCACTTTCGAAAAGTTTCAAGTTATAACGATCTTGACTAAGTTTTTGAACCCACTTTGGAGGAGGGAGGATATGCTGCCCCAATGGTCGAGATCTTGCGTGCAAACTTTCCAGATATAGTACAGCTTGCCTTACATCGCATTTGGATGGTTGGGATTAGAGCGAACCAGAAACGGTTCGCCTCAAACCTGGAACCTGCTAGATAGACGTGGGCAAAAAGCGAGGCAAGTAATAGTCTCCTCGGCTTTGGCCCACTCGTAACGAGGTGAGGCAAGTATTACCCGCCACGAGTAATTTCTGCCCTCGCTCGACTCGCTACTCGCAGAAAAAGGCGAGTATCATTTACTCGTTACAAGCAAATAAAATCCTCGTGGGCCATGCAATAATGCTCGCCCTGGCAGGAACACCCCCGAGGACACACAAGTTAGCAGAAAAAAAAGCCCACGTCGGTTCGGGTAAGGTTAGGTCCTGCCTTGCTTAATTGTGCCCCATTCCCTTTTCCATCACACTCTCACCGCTTTCTCCTGAATTACTAGTTTCATGATCCGTATTCCTCAGAAAGAATCATCAGCATTTCTCTCCTCATCTAGTGCATGACCTCTAAAGGCTCATCTTGTCAGGCAAATTTGGCCAACTACTGTTTGGCAGGAGTCACTGCCCTTGTGCTCGCCCATAGTCAAACCCCATCTTCTGTTTCTTTCTTGCTGCATCTGGATGCAATGACAGGGGCCTTCAGAATAACCAGCTCACGGGCTCAATCCCTGCAGAAATTGGTTCACTACGTCGTCTAACATACCTGTAAGGTTCCTCTCTGCCACATGAGCATAAGTCGAGGCCGTGACGAGCCGGCGGCACAACGAACCGGGCCGACAGCTCGCCCGGCTCGTGGCTCGTCCGTCGTGGGCGAGTTGGTTGAGCCAGTACGAGCTGGCTCCTACTTTGATAAGCCGGCGGATACTCCTGGATGAACAAATCCCTCTGTCCTCCGTTTGACACGAGTCAATGCGCTTGTGCTTCTCCATGTTAAAACCCCACGGTTTGGTTCTTCCTTTGTGCAATCAACTGAAACGGCAGGTCCCTTAATTATAATCAGCTGACGGGTTCCATCCCTGTGGAGATTGGATCAATATCATCTCTTTCATTTCTGTAAGGTTCCCCTCTGCCACATCAGCATAAGCCTGGGCCAAGCCGGCTCGTCTTGAGCTGTCGCGAGCCGGAATGAGCCGGATCCGGCTTTTATACGAGCCTGCTGTTTGCTTTTCCGCGCCCGAGTTCGGCTCGTCTAGACAGCAGCCGGAGCATGATCGTTGGCTTCACGAGCCAAGGCAACAAGACAAAGCGGGACTGACGGCTCAGACTTATGCTCATGTGTACTCCGTCCCTACTATCTCGTCTCTCGACTTCCTCACCTCCTTTACCTCTACATTTCTTTCCCGTCTCTGACTCCATCCCGTTTAGCCATGAGCAAATCAAGCTGCTGTTTAGTTCGTTGCCAGCCAATTTAAGTCAAACCTAACCTTTCGACTGGTTCGATTGGTTCGACTATCATACACTATTCTGGCCATCCCCCCAGAACCCCCTTGCGTCCTCTCCCCCCTCCCCCCCCCCCTCCCCCCGTCTCTCTCCCCCCCCCTTCCCCTCTCTCCCCCCCCCTCCCCCACAGTATATAAGAGCCCCCTCATGGATGGTCTTTAGGTTCAATTGGACTCTAGGGCGAACCGTGTTTTGAGGGCTGAAATAACGATAATACCAAGTATTAGGGCTAGTGTGCCGTAAGGTTAGGGCTGGTCGATCCGAAGCTGGACTGGTTCGAATCGAACCTAACTGAACCATCTCTGGTTCGGTTCGAACCTGCCCAGTCCAACCATAATTAGTCGAACTTCGAACTGGGCAATCCTCTTTCTGGTTCGACTCAATCATGTTTGGTTCGGTAGATTGCTCGTGCCATCCCTTTCTAGGGATGAGCAAATGAGCGAACCCCTGTTTGGTTCTACTCAAACCTGTTTGGCAAAGCATGTTTTTTTCGACTAAGGGTCGAAAACGAGTTGGGAGGTACTCGGTCACTACTCGAGATTCGAGGTATTCGGCAAATACTTGTCAAAGCGAATGCCTGAGAAAAAGGGCGAGTACTCGACTTGTGAGTACTCGAGAGGGCGAGTATTCGAGGGTCGAGTACTCGGGTACTCGACGAGTACTCGAATTAAGCATCCCTGCCCCCCGGTACACCTAAAACGAGGAATATAGCCAACCGTCCACTTATAACAAACTTTGGCGCTTTGTTGTGTAAGAACAACAAACATGATGATGATGAGACCTTACAAACATGCACGGCCAGTTCATACACTGTAGCGCACTCACTACGGAACTCTCAGCCATTTTAAGTGCAAGATGACGTTGTCAGATGGCTGTCCAAGTAACGCGTGTTTCGTGCTAGAGGTGATCATGTATGCTACTTGAATGAAATGGTTCGATCAAATACTTTTTTTGTGATTACTCGCTAAATATTCGTCTAAGGTACTCGTATTCGAATCGGGTACTCGATTTCCACCCTTAGGTTGGACTTCAACACCTGTTCTTCAAAATTGGTTCAACCCAAACCGAACGCGTTCGGTTCGGGTAAGGCAAGGGCTCGTCTGAGTTTGAGACAAACACAATCGGGTTATGCCCATCCCTCTTATCTTGGTCTGGTCTGGTCATGCAAACACAGAAATGGGCTCGGAACCATTCTTCCCCTGCATCCACCCCCTACACCACCAACAGCTCTCTCGACAGCAACATGTTGTCAGGATCTGTGCCCTCCTGGATCACAAAGCTCACTGCTCTTACTTACCTGTAACTTGGTTCCACTTTCACTTGAGCAACGGGTTGAACCGACCAGCCCGGGCCGTTTGCTCAATCCTTCTATGTGCCTAAAAGTGTTGATTGGTATGTCAATTTTATCAAAATCTGAGAAAAATAGTCGCCTCGGCTTTGGCTCACTCGTAACGAGGTGAGGCAAGTATTACCCGCCACGAGTAATTTTTGCCCTCGCTCGACTCGCTACTCCCAGAAAAAGGCGAGTATCATTTACTCGTTACAAGAAAATAAAATACTCGTGGCCATGCAATAATGCTCGCCCTGGCAGGAACACCCCCGAGGACACACAAGTTAGCATAAAAAAATGTTCAACCGTGCCTTCCTTGTGCAGATTCCCCAAGGGCAGTGTTTAATAAATTCGAGTTCTAGCCGGTAAACAGTAGGTTTGCCAGTGCGATCGCCAGTCAGGAAACATGTCGCAGCAGAGTGGGGTGGGTACGGGAGAGGTGTAGATTTCTTACCAAGTCATAAGGTGCAGAGATTGTAGAGGTTGGGTTAGGTAGCGGGTGTGTTTAGTGCGGTTGGGTGATGCAATGGAGCTGAAAAGGAATTGGTGGCTCTAAAACACCTATTCTTCAAACTTGGTTCAACCCAAACCGAACGCGTTCGGTTCGGGTAAGGCAAGTGTTCATCTGAGTTTGAGACGAACACGTCCGGGTTCTCCAAGAATGGTCTTAAAACCATTCTTTCCATGCATTCACCCCTCACACCACCAACAGCTCTCTCGAGGCCAACATGTTGTCAGGATCTGTGCCTTCCTCGATCACAAAGCTCACTACTCTTACTTTCCTGTAACTTGGTTCCACTTCCACTTGAGCAACGAGTTGAACCAACCTGCCCGGGCCGTTTGCTCAATCCTTTCATGTGCCTAAAAGGGTTTTTCTGGTATGCAAATTATATCAAAATCTGAATTTTGTTTTTTTCCATAGTATTGTTTTCCTCTTTTAATAACCACTGCAATTTTCCCATTAGAGAAAATTAAACCACCCTAGAAATATGTGATTATAGCGACTACTCCGGACGTACTAGGACTAGTATTTGGCCCATGGGCCGGCCAGGCTAGAAGTCAGCTTGACCCGAACTGATTGGAACTCGACCCGATTTGGCTATCCATTAGGCTGGTGAGGTTTGAATCAAGTTGGCCCAAGTTTGACTCCTGTTGCTCATGTCTAATCTCATGCCAGTATCAGCGTCTTACCTACCTTTTCACCCATTTGTCAAACTCCTTGCACACCCCCCACGTGTCTCTTGCCTCCTTGTCTTGAACAGTTCCCTCTCTACCAACCAGCTCACCAACTCCATCCCCTCTAACATTGGCTTGCTGACAAAGCTGGTAACCTTGTAAGTAGGGATGAGGTTCAGCCCGGGTTGAACCAAGCCAGGACGGCAAGAAAATCGGGCGACTGGTTCGGCTCGACCCGGGCTGGCCGAGCAGTCCCTTGACTCGGGTTCGGCAATGAGTACTCCGGCCATTCCTTTGTCCGGTTCGTGTTCGGCCTAGGTCACTTTCGAAAAGTTTCAAGTTATAACGATCTTGACTAAGTTTTTGAACCCACTTTGGAGGAGGGAGGATATGCTGCCCCAATGGTCGAGATCTTGCGTGCAAACTTTCCAGATCCAGTGAAGCTTGCCTTACATCGCATTTGGATGGTCGGGATTTCTAGGTTTAGAGCGAACCAGAAACGGTTCGCCTCAAACCTGGAACCCGCTGGATAGACGTGGGCAAAAAGCGAGGCAAGTAATAGTCGCCTCGGCTTTGGCCCACTCGTAACGAGGTGAGGCAAGTATTACCCGCCAGGAGTAATTTTTGCCCTCGCTCGACTCGCTACTCACAGAAAAAGTCGAGTATCATTTACTCGTTACATGTGAATAAAATACTCGTGGCCATGCAATAATGCTTGCCCTGGCAGGAACACCCCTGAGGACACACAAGTTAGCATAAAAACAAATTCAACCGTTCCTTCCTTGTGCAGATCCCCCAAGGGCAGTGTTTACTAAATTCGAGTTCTAGCCGGTAAACAGTAGGTTTGCCAGTGCGATCGCCAGTCAGGAAACATGTCGCAGCAGAGTGGGGTGGGTACGGGAGACGTCTAGATTTCTCACCAAGTCATAAGGTGCAGAGATTGTAGAGGTTGGGTTAGGTAGCGGGTGATGCAATGGAGTTGGAGTTGAAAAGGAATTGGTGGTTCTAAAATCTCCTTGTTTGAGTTGGAGGCACTTTGTCGCGCAGAAACACACATTGTAGCAAAGAAAACAAAGGTCGTGACCAGCCACTTTCAGATTTATACCCCTGCTTGCAAGTCACGGGAGGTTCATTTTGGGACTGAAGAAAACGGATCGGTGAACTTCGGGCACGATAGGAAGAAGGAATATCCTTAGCAAGAAATTGGTACAAGTCTTAAAGACTAGAGCAAGGTCCTTGTCAAGGATGATCCCTAGTGAAGTGGGAAGCCACATATATGTGGCTGAACTCTTGAGGCTAGCTGCAGCACCTCAATGCTGAGGGCAAGGCTAGCCAACCTTGCCAAGCTAGCAAGTGAAGCCACATGTTGCACATGTGGGCCAGACTGGAACAACAGCCCACATGACAGCATATGGCACACCATAGAGGCCAGCAAGGTGAGTGTGGGATGAGTGGACAGGTGGCAATGCCAACTGTGACCACACTTCACTGTGGTGGAGTGTGGTGGAGTGTGGACATGTAGTGTGGAGCATAATGAGAAGGAAAGTGCAGCTACTGAGAATTGAACCAACGACCTATCCATAGGTGAGAATTTACCCTCTGGGACATACTTGCTGCACAACAGGGACCAGTAAAACTGTATCTGCGAGTATGTAACTCCTCACGTGTACGATTTTACTCACTCTTCCAAGCGAACCGGTTTGTGTAACGAACCGGTTCGGTTCGTTGACGAGCTGGAAGGAAAAAAAACGCAGTTTGGTTTCGGGAAAACCGAACCCAACTGCACCAAACTGGACCGCGGCTCGGTGCCCTTCTCATACCTAGTCAGCATATACCCTGGCAAATCCCGACCCGAGAGCTGGTTCGGGTTTGGTCGGGTCAGGTTGAAATGGCCGGATCGACCCCACCAGAGGAGCAACATGACCTAGCCAAAAGCCCACGTCGGTTCGGGTCAGGTTAGGTCTTGCCTTGCTTAATTGTGCCCCATTCCCTTTTCCATCACACTCTCACCACTTTCTCCTGAATTACTAGTTTCATGATCCGTATTCAGTAGAAAGAACCATCAGCATTTCTCTCCTCATCTAGTGCATGACCTCTAAAGGCTCATCTTGTCAGGCAAATTTGGCCAACTACTGTTTGGCAGGAGTCACTGCCCTTGTGCTCGCCCATAGTTAAACCCCATCTTCTGTTTCTTTCTTGCTGCATCTGGATGCAATGACAGGGCCCTTCAGAATAACCAGCTCACGGGTTCAATCCCTGCAGAAATTGGTTCACTACGTTGTCTAACATACCTGTAAGGCTTCTCTCTGCCGCATGAGCATAAGTCCAGGCCATGACGAGCCGGCGGCACAACGAACCGGGCCGGCAGCTCACCCGGCTCGTGGCTCGTCCGTCGTGGGCGAGATGGTTGAGCCAGTACGAGCTAGCTCCTACTTTGATAAGCTGGCGGATACTCCTGGATGAACAATGCTCGTCGTCACCACCTCTCGAACCCGTGTACATCGGACTTTTAACCACCAGATCGGCGTGGACGGGGGTAATATTCCCGGGTCTATTCGCCAAGCCTGTCAAGGCGCATGCACAGTTCAGACCTATGCTAATTTCTACTCCCACTATTATCACTTTAGACTTTTTGGGGTTTGATTTGTACCCGTTGAACACTTGATGCGGTCATTTGACGGGTCAAGCGGGCCCCATTTCAGGTCAAGAAAAAAGCAAGGGCTCATTGAATGAGCCTCATTTGTCACGTTCCATAAGTCAATTGCTTTCTCCTTACTGGTCTAGATTCCTTATCCTATGTGAGATCTGGAGTGGAGGCTCATATTGTTGGGCAAATCCCTCTGTCCTCCGTTTTACACGAGTCGATGCACATGCACATGTGCTTCTCCATGTTAAAACCCCACGGTTTGGTTCTTCCTTTGTGCAATCAACTGAAACGACAGGTCCCTTCATTTCAATCAGCTGACGGGTTCCATCCCTGCGGAAATTGGATCAGTATCATCTCTCTCATATCTGTAAGGTTCCCCTCTGCCACATGAGCATAAGTCTGGGCCGAGCTGGCTCGTCTTGAGCTGTCACGAAATGAGCCGGATCCGGCCTTTCTACGAGCCAACTGCCGGGTCTTCCGCGCAAGTTCTTCGAGTCCGGCTTGTCTAGTCAGCAGCCGAGCCACGGAGCATGATTGTTGGTTTGACGAGCCAAGCCGACAAGCCGAAGCGGAACCGACGGCTCAGACTTATGCTCATGTGTACTCCCCTCCCTACTATCTCGTCTCTCAACTTCCTCACCTCCTTTACCTCTACATTTCTTTCCCGTCTCTGACTCCATCCCGTTTTGTCATGAGCAAATAACCAAGCTGCTGTTCAGTTTGATGCGAATCGAACCTCGGATTTTTTTGCGAGCAACTTGAGTCAAACCTAACATTTCGACTGGTTCAATCGGTTCGACTATCTTACATTATTCTCCTCCCCCCCACATCATAAAAGAGCGTCCTCATGGTTGGTCTAAAGGTAAAATCACCAAGGTTTCAATTGGTCTCTTAGGCAAACCGTGTTTTGAGGGCTGAAATAACGATTTTACCCAAGTATTAGGGCTAGTGTGCGGTTAGGTTAGGGGTGGTCGATCCGAACCTGGACTGGTTTGAATCGATCCGAACCGAACCATCTCTGGTTCGGTTGGAACCTGCCCAGTCGGACCAGTATTAGTCAAACTTTGAACTGGGCAATCCTTCTTTTGTTCGTCTCAGACAGGTTTGGTCCGGTTGACTGCTCATGCCCTCCCTTCTAGGGATGAGCAAACGAGCGAACCCCTGTTTGGTTCGACAGACCTGTTCGAGTCGAACGCAAAACGTGTTTGTTTCACACAATATACTGTTCGGGTCAAACATGTTCGCCTAAAACACTCGAACCGTGTCGAACACGAACATGTTCGAGCGTTTGAATTGTCAAAATCGAGATTGAAGTGGAACGTCACTGGAAGGGCTCGAGGAGGAGGACCTGGAGGAGGCTGTGGAGGGGGTTGGAGGATGTGGACAGGGGTGATGGGGCTGTGGAAGGTGGGGGGGGTGTGGTGGCTGCTTGAACCGAGCACATTTGAGTCCGAGTGAATGAAAAAAAACCAGTATTTCATTACTCGTTCTGTGTGTGTGTGTTATTTCCCCCCCCTTGTTCTTTCCCCGTCCAACCGCGTATTGGACTAACTAACGTATTTGCGCACATTGGCGCGCGCTAGACATGAATAGTGAGTCTAGCTTTTATTCAAGTGTAGGGTATGAGTCCAGACCGTTTATTACCAGCTCTTACTAGAGTATGAGGAATGATAATCACCATCGAATAATAGTGCTCCTAGATCTATTAGGTGAGATTGGTTACGGATGACGGAAGAGCAGGACTTACTGGTGGTTGGGTAGAGGAGGGACGGAGATTGGCGTGGCAGGAGGGAGGACGTGTGCAGCAGGCTACACTGATTGCGTTGCAAAAAGGGTCAACCGACAATTTCCAATTTCGCCGAACACAATCTATTCACGAGTGTTGACTTTTTGGCGAGTTCCAACATTTGCGCAAACAAATTGGGGGACACAAAATGCCTCACAACAGTGGAGTGATGTTTTCCTGTTACTTTTTATTTCATTTGACAGATCTGGCGATTTTGTTTGGTCACTCAATTTCTTGCGACAGATCTCTCATATTTCTTGCCAAAGGCACATCGATACCCTAGACCTGACTGTTGGCAGATCGATCGAGTTGTAACTTTGCCCCCCACCCGCCTCCTCCCCCCTCCAATGTCGAAATCAAGTACTCGTTTACTCGGGCGTAATAAAATTACTAGCGAGTAATGTAATTACTCGTTACTCGCTTTCGAAAGCGAGTAAATCGCGAGTACTCGATTTATCGTCGAGTATGACTCGACTCGACAAATCCGAGTAATTCTTGGAAACAGCCGACTCGTTACTCGCCCAAAACGAGTAACGAAAACGAGTCGAGTATTACACTCGACTCGTTGCTCATGTCTAGTTCAACCCCAACCGAACGCGTTCGGTTTGGGTAAGGCAAGCGTTCCTTTGATTTTGAGACAAACACGTTCGGGCCTATGTTGCAGAAGACGCGTTTAGCATCTTAGACGCTTGCGTCTAGACACAGCGTCTAAGATGCAGGATGCGCGTATTCGGCAGGTTAGACGCTGGAAAAGACGCAAGCCCGGGCAGGCAAAAAAAAGTGCGGGCAGCCAAAAAATCCTTCTATGGGCCATGGGGAGGAGGGGGGATGTGGACGTAGATCACATTTGAGGCGGAAGAAAATGAAGGAGTAGGAGAAGCCATTTCTGAGTTAAATAGCTAACTAAACCCCCAAGGGTTTTTGAAGGAGAAAAGGGTTGAAGTGAAAGAGGAGGAACACAAATGAAGCATTTGTGCTCCTAAATCCTCATTGTGGTTTACCAATTTTGTTGGGTTTTGTAGATGCAGTGCGGTTGAGTGGGATTTGTTCAGATTTTGGTTGGGGGGAGGGGGGGGGGGGGGGGGGGGGGGGGGGGGGTGGTTCAATTCTGGTTTGTGGGCTGTTTTTCAGGGTCGAAATGGGTGGGAGGGGGTCGAAATTTTGCTAAATTGACTTAGGCGACGAAATCGCAAAAGTAGATTTTGCGCGCACGATTTTTCTCCGAGCTGCCCGATACGCCTTGCGTCTCTACGCAGGACACAGGTCGAGCTGAACGTCTTCTGCACCATAGGTTCGGGTTATGCTCGTCCCTATCCCTTTCTTATGTTGGTCTGGTGTGGACCTGCAAACACACAAATGGTCTTGGAACCATACTTCCCATGCATCCATCCCCTACACCACCAACAGCGCTCTCGACGGCAACATGTTGTCAGGATCTGTGCCCTCCTCAATCACAAAGCTCACTGCTCTTACTCTCCTGTAACTTGGTTCCACTACCACTTGAGCAATAAGTTGAACTGACCCGCCCGGGCCGTTTTCTCAATCCTTCCATGTTCCTAAAAGTGTTGACTGGTGTGCGAATAATATTAAATTTGCAAATTTACTTCATAACATTGTTTTCCTCTTTTAAAAACCACTGCAATTTTCCATTAAAGAAAATTAAAACACCCTTGAATGATGTGATTGTAACGAATGCTAGTCCTCCGTTTGACACGAGTCAATGCCCTTGTGCTTCTCCATGTTAAAACCCCACGTTTTGGTTCTTCCTTTGTGCTTCTCCATGTTAAAACTGCAATGACAGGTTCGTTAAGTTTAATCAGCTGACGGGTTCCATCCCTGCGGAAATTGGATCAGTACCATCTCTCCCAACGCTGTAAGATTCCCCTCTCTGCCACATGAGCATAAGTCAAACCTAACCACCAAGCTGCTGTTCAGTTTGATGAGTCAAACTTAACCTTTCGACTGGTTCGATCGGTTGGACTATCTTACACTATTCCCTCCCCCCCCCCCCCCCCCCCTCCTCCCCCCTCCCCCCCCAGAATATAAGAGCGTCCTCATGGATGGTCTTTAGCTAAAATCACCAAGGTTTCAACTGGTCTCTTTGGCAAACCGTGTTTTGGGGGCTGAGATAACGATTTTACGCAAGTATTTGGGCTAGTGTGTGGTTAGGTAGGCTACGGCTGGTCGATCCGAACCTGGACTGGTTTGGATCGAACCTAACCGAACCATCTCTGGCTCGGTTCGAACCTGCCCAGTCTGACCATTATTAGTCGAACTTTGATTGGGCAATCCCCTTTCTGGTTCGACTCAAACAGGTTTGGTTCGGTAGACTGCTCATGCCATCCCTTCTAGGGATGAGCAAATGAGCGAACCCCTGTTTGGTTCGACTCAAACCTGTTCGAGTAAAAGACAAAACGTGTTTGTTTCAAACAATATACCGTTCGGGTCAAACATGTTCGCCTAAAGCACTGAAACCGTGTCGAACATGAACATGTTCGAGCGTTTGAATTGTCGAAATAGAGATTGAATTGGAACGTCACTGGAAGGGGAGGGGTCGAGGAGGAGTACCTGGAGGAAGCTGTGGAGGGGGTTGGAGGATGTGGACAGGGGTGATGGGGCTGTGGAAGGTGGGGGGAGTGTGTTGGCTGCTCGAACCGAACACATTTGAATCCGAGTCAAACACATTGGTGTTCGACCCAAACAGTAAAGGGTTCGACTTCAACACCTGTTCTCAAAATCTGCTCAACCCAAACCGAACGCCTTCGGTTCGGGTAAGGCAAGGGTTCGTCTGAGTTGGAGACAAACACGTTCGGGTTATGCTCCTCCCTCTTTGTTAATGTTAGCCCTCAATCTCACATTTGTACTTGTACAATTTATATCTTAGTTTAGTGTAGTTCGCACTTTGTGTTTGGTTGGGTGTACACCCACATCCCAACCAAGCCCAAATGTGATCTCCAAGCAATCTCCAACCCACCAATTGAGATTGCCCCCACCCTTACCTTGCCCATTTCCAATGTACTTAAAGAGCCTTGAGCTCATTACTAATGTATGGATTCTAAGCTCAAGTTCTGACACTCTTATCTTGGTCTGGTCTGGTCCTGCAAACACAGAATTGGACTCGGAACCATTCTTCCCCTGCATCCACCCCCTACACCACCAACAGCTCTCTCGACAGCAACATGTTGTCAGGATCTGTGCCCTCCTGGATCACAAAGCTCACTGCTCTTACTTTCCTGTAACTTGGTTCCACTTCCACTTGAGCAACGGGTTGAATCGACCTGCCCGGGCCGTTTGCTGAATCCTTCCATGTGCTTAAAAGTGTTGATTGGTATGTCAATTATATCAAAATCTAAGAGAAATATCCATACCATTGTTTTCCTCTTTTAAATACCACTGCAATTCTTCCATCAGAAAAGTTTAAAACACCCTGGAAATATGTGATTATAGCGACTAGTATTTGACGAAGGTGATCCCCCAGTGGCCAAACCCATATAGTCGGCCCATGGGCCGGCAAGGCTAGAAGTCAGCTTGACCCGAACTGACTGGAACTGGACCTGGTTTGGTTATCTTTTAGGCTGGTGAGGTTTGAATCAGGTTGGCCCAAGTTCGACTCCTCTTGCTCATGTCTAATCTCATACCAGTATCAGCGTCTTACCTACCTTCTCACCCATTTGTCCAACTCCTTGCACACCCCCCACGTGTCTCTTGCCTCCTTGTCTTGGACAGTTCCCTCTCTAACAATCAACTCACCAACTCCATCCCCACTGACATTGGCTTGCTGACAAATCTGGTATCCTTGTAAGTAGGGATGAGGTTCGGCCCAGGTTGAACCAAGCCAGGACGGCAAGAAAATCGGGCGACTGGTTCGGCCCGACCCGGGAATAAATAGTTCACGCCCTTGGTTCACGCCTGAGGTGCTCCGATGTCCTTCCTCTTGTGGGGCTCTCACTTGCCCAATTTGCGCAGCAGAATGCGGTAAGCAGTGGAGATGGAGAGGCTAAGGGAGATGAGAGGCAGGGCAGAGCATGTGGTAGATCAGAAGAAACCTGAATCATCGTCGCATGGAATATTATCAAAGCTTTTGGCTGAATCAAATGGAGATATAACTCCGCAGGATCCTACCTTGGCTAAACTCTAGATCATCAAATTCTCAACGCAAATTGTGTGTGCTCCTCGTTGCAGGCCATTGACTGCAGTCGTCCTTTGCCTCGTAACCTCATGCTTCAGCTGGGAAGTTTTCTCCTCGTTCCCTGCACCGCATTCTTGTACACCCTCAGTGTGAGCTGTCGCCCTTGATGGTTTTCTTGGTTCTATTGAATCCCATCAAGTTATTCCTTCGTTTCCTTGTTTCTCCACTCCACATTGCTTACCTCAGCAAGACTCCCTTGCCAACCCAGCCTATTTCAGCATTGTGCACAGTACAGCCATTCTCCTCTTGTTTAACCCCCAGCGCTTTCTTCACCACCCTCCTCGTGACCGTTAGCCATTTTTTGTCCCTCTGTTTCCTAATCCCCTCACTTCTTTTCTGCGTCAACACAGCAAGGCTGTCTTGTCAACTCCACCGTGCCCATAGTACTTTTTTCGCTCCATTAACCTCAGCCATCTGTGCCTTCTCCCATGGTTCAACCCTCCAGGGCGACACATGCTGGTCCATCAGCGCCCAGCTGGGCATCACCAGCAGCAACCTCACGGCTCTCAATCCCGGCCTCGGCTGCTCTGAGCCCATCAAGGCGGGCCGCTCTCTGTGCGTCGAGCGCAATGCCACCTTCGCCTTCACCGTGCCTCGGTGCTTGCAATACGGTGTGCTCACAGCACAGGACACATGCGAGCGCCTGCTGCAGCAGGTGGCGGGGAGTGAGGAAGACCCATCGGGGGCTGGGAAGGTGAATGCCATGCGCTGGGCTGAGCTGTACCGCAACAATCCCTGCCTCATCTGCTCGAATGTCGTCCCAGCCTCCGCATCCGCTGTTGGCAGCAACACTGGCGTGCAGGTGAGGGTTGGAGGGGAACCGGGATGGGGTGAGTAAGACATGGGAGGGAAAATGGAGAGGAAACTTGTGGACTAAACGTGCATTTCATGGGTGAGTGGGCAAGGGGTCATTCCTGATATGCCAAAGTAAAAGTTTTTTTTTTCAACTATTAGCCCTTTATGTTCGTTGAGAAGGTGTTCTGCTCATGCCTATCTATGCCTTAGTACATGTTCCTTTCGTGGGATGTCTTTGCAAATGCCGCCAATGCAGATTTGCCTAAGAGCGGAATATTGGCCATTCGTTGTTGGCATATGCAAGAAGGGCAGGCAAAAGCCAGTGTCACCATCATTGACATGCTCGGGTGCTTACAGCTTCTATGGTGGAGCTGCGAATGGAGCGATTTCAAAATATTATGTGAACAATGAGAAGAAGTGTGTTGGGAGTGTAGGGTCCAAGTTCATTTGTGTACCATGATTACTTGCCACCTCATATTAATTTGAACCAGGCCCTGGTATTTTTGCCTCTTTCCACTGATTCTGTGTCTTTTTCCACTCTTTCTTTGTAAAAACATGTGGTACTTAGGGTACATTCCTGTGGAGACACTTGTGTCTCAATCCCCTTTTTCCCGAATCGCGTCTAAACATTTTTGCAATCTCGCGTCACAAAAAATGAATGTATCACGAAACTTGGCGACCAGGCATGATTGGACTTCACACATGACTGTACACCTGTTTCTTCAAACGCCTGGCTCGGGTGGGTTTTTGACGAGCGGTTTATATTCCCGTGCGCGATTGGCATTGTGAGGTGTCCAGGTGCATTGACATTTCGAACCGCGTACGACTCGTTGACAGTGATGGGTCAATATGCAACTCGTCCGCGACGTCAGCGCGTTTCACGCTGACCAATGAAAAATACAGTAATGGTCGCACAAGGGCAACACGCGTTTGTGAAATTGTACGTTTTATGCTGTTCCTACGCGTCACAAAAGGTTGAGACACAAGTGCCTCCACAGGAATGTACCCTTATGCTTTTTAGCTTGGCTAATGTATCAGCCTTCTTACCATGACTGATAATCCAATTCTCTGTGCCTTCTTTGTTTTCCCAGCCTGTTGTGTAGGCCTACAATGATCCCTTTGTTATGGTCAAGGACAGAGCCTATGCAGTTTAGGGGGCAAGAATAACTCAAATTGATTTACTAAGGATGCGTCACAATTGCAACACCGAGGGAGGATCGGGATCACACACCGAGCTGTGAGCATCGATCGCCTCCGAGCCACATGTGTCGCGACCGTGCTCAGGTTCCCTATTTGGCGGGGTAAAAGGCGTTTCGGTAAGTTTAGAATGCATACGCTTGATTTTAGTGTGGTGACGGATCAATATTGGAATATCTATCGCCTAAGCGTATTGTCTTCAGTCTTCGAGACAAACAACGAAAAAGGGATATACGACAATGCGAATTACTGTATACCCAAACACCAATCCTGTACAGGATCGGTGTTGCAATTGAGTACGCACTGTACGCACTGTCAGTCATGCTCGTCGTCCTCGTCCTTCACCTGTCCCCGGCACGCACACCATGGCTTTTCGTACTTCCTCTGTTCCACAGCGTGTTGTCCTGCCGTCTCCTCTAGCATCCTCTCTTCCTGACGTTCATGACCCTGAGTCCGACCTTTCTCGTGCTGCTAGTCCTACTGTCACTCGCCTCCTTGCCACTGTTGTCACTGACCCTTCCTTTGAGTCTACTGCTGTGTTTGCCCTAATCACTGAGCTAGTCGACTTTGCTGCTACCCGTCGTCTCGACTACGTCGCGACTCTGGTGACTGAGTCTGAGTTTGTCTGTCCTCCATCCGTCGGGGGTGAGCTTGCCCTTAGCAGTGACGTCCATGAGGACAAGCAATTTGAGCTTGAGTATTTGGCGGTCGCTTTACCTCGTTCCGCGTCCGTGCTGCTTTGCCCTGAGGGAGACCCGAATGCACTAGACATCCCGACCCCGCGCACTCACTCAGAGGCAATCACGGGTGAGTATTCCTCTTAGTGGCAGATAGCCATGGACTTACAGATGGCTTCTTGAAAGTCCACAGGCACCTACGTCGACATGGTTCCCCCTCCTGGGGCGAACATAGTCGATGGCATGTGGATTTTCAGAGTGAAGTGGTCACCAGGTTCTCCGCATGTCTTCAAGGCGCGTTACGTTGCTCGAGGCTTCAGTCAGCCACAGGGGGTCGACATTTTCCAGACCTTCTCCCCCACCCCAAAGATGACAACTCTTCGGGTGTTACTGCACGTTGCAGCGCAGCGTGACTACGAGCTGCACTCCCTCGACTTCTCCACATCATTTTTGCAGAGCAGCCTTCACGAAAGATCTGGCTGCGCCGCCCACCTGGCTTCATTGAGTCGTTTTCTGAGGGTACCCAGTGGAGCCTCCGGCAGCCAGTCTACGGTCTCTGCCAGGCGCCCCGCTGCAAGTGGCACGACACACCGAGGACGACACTTGCAGCTTGGGTTTGCTCCTTCGACTGCTAACTCTTCGATGTTTATGCGCACCGACCCTACTCTGCCGCCGTTCTACATCCTCGTATACGTCGACAACTTGGTCGTTGTTACTGCCGATACTGAGGCGCTGACCCTTGTGAAGACGGAGCTGCAGAAGAGACACACTTGTACTGACCTGGGTGAGCTGCGGAGCTATCTTGACTTGCAGATCACCCGGGACAGAGCAAGGCGTACCATCACTGTGACTCACTCACACATGGTGCAGCAGATCCTTCAACGCTTCTGCTTTCAGTTCTCCTCGCAACAACGCATTCCTCTTCCTACAGGCCACTCGCTCTCAGCTCCACCTTCGGACGAATGCGTTGAGCCGAGTGGCCCGTATCTAGAGCTTGTGTGTTGCCTCATATACCTTATCACGTGCACACGACCAAACCTCGCGTACCCTCTCAGCATACTTGCTCGCTTCGTCGCGCTCGGGCGACACAGGAAGGAGCACTGGACAGTTGCGCAGAGGGTACTGCGTTACTTGTGCAGTACATCAGGAATTGGGCTCGTGCTTGGAGGACAGGGTCCAATGGTACTCGCAGGACACTCCGACGCTTCTTAGGCGGACGACCAGGCGACTCGGCGATCGTCATAGGGAAAACTCTTTCAGTCTCGGCTCTGGTTCTGTCTCGTGGAGGTCCACTCGTTCGTCTTTTGTGCTAGGGTCCAGCTGTGAGGCCGATATCTACGCTGGGGCTATGCTTGACCTACCTGCTGGCCAACTTGGGTGAGCGGCCTGTTCTCCTCCAGTTCTGTACGTCGACAATAAGGCCATGATTGCCTTGTGTCGGGAGTGCGGAGATAACTAAAGCAATGGGAGCTAGACTACGGGCTAGGCACGGGTGCTCGTGTGATCTCTGCGTTTGGTCCTTAGTCATTCTCTAGCACTTACTCATTCACGGGGCAAAATCGCAAGAGATTCACTAGCAAAAGTTGAGAACGATGATAGCAACAACATTGGCATGCAAGACTACATCAGAGCTAGCAAAGCCTCTGGTCAACTTGAAGCGTAGCACGGTCGACCAGGCAACCAGGTCGATGCCATCAGGTTGGCGTCCTCCCTGGTCGGTGTCCCCTCGTCGGACACTTCGGGACTAGGCCGCCGACTTCGCCAAGTCGTTGGCCACCCAAGGTCGGCGCCCTGAAGTCGGCGCCCTGCCAGGTCGACCTCGCCAGGTCGACCACCCCACACTAGGCGCCCCGAAGTCGGCACCCATCGCAGTGGCCCCCGTGCAGGTCGACCTCCTCGTCGACCAGCTCGCCCACTGCTACAGGTCAGCTGCACTCCCCCGTACACCCGACCACAAGGTCGGCTCCGCCCAAGCGAGGACGGGGCCAACACAACTCCCATTGACACTCCCCTGCCGTGTTCACGCTTGGGCCCCCAATCCCGCACGGCAGCACTGCTCGGAGAATAGCTCGTCGGCGTGCACCCCACACACAGCACGCCGGTCACCGCACCAGCCATGCAAGAGGGCATGGCACCTACTGTTGCATGTCGTCGTCGCCGTCGCCCACGTCGGTCAGGCGCACTTGGCCGATTGTGACGGAGCACTGGTTGAAGGCCGGATAGTGCAGCGCCTTCGTCAGGAACTCGGCCGGCTGCTCAGCGGGTGGGATGGACTTCAGCGAAAACTTCCCGCGCTTCACCATGTGCTGCTGCCAGGCCTGTCGTGCCGCTCCATGTGCTTGAGGTTGTCAGTCAACCCCATTCCCTCGGCGACCGTGATGGCCGACTTGTTGTCCACCCGAAGGACCGTTGGCTTCCCGGCATCCAGCTGCCGGAACCCTGCAAGGAGGAAGCAAAGGCGGAGTCCCTCCTTGCCGGCTTATGTTGCAGCCATGTACTCCGACTCGGTCGACGACAGCGTCGCACACATGATGCGTTGGCTCGACCACGAGACTGTAGCCCCTCCGTAGACGAACACGTAGCCGCCCATGCTCGTCCAAATCTGCTTGTCGCCCACATCGTCAGCGTCCACGTAGCCGGCCAGCTTCATCAACTCAGGTCCACCGCCAAACTCCAGGGCGGTGTCACGCGTGTTAGCGAGGTAGGCGAGGCAGCGGTCGACCTCGCGCCAGTGCTGGTCGCTCCTCATCGTGAGGCCGCTCCCCAACTTGCTGTAGGCAAAGGCGATGTCCGGCCTCATCGTCGTCGCCACGAACTACAGCGAGCTGACCTTCTGCCGGTACTCCTCGTCCTGACGCTCCTGCGCCTCCTCATTGTCGAACGTCAGCTCGGCGTAGGCGTCGACCGAGACCGGCGTCTTCGGGGTGCGCTCGGTCTGTTTCTCGTCGATAAACCACCTACTCAGCTTGTCGACGTAGCCCTGCTGGTGCAGCCAAAGCTTCCTCGCCGGCCTGTCGCGCACGATCTCCAGCCCGAGGTACTTCAGCACCAGCGATATCTCGCACAGCTCGAAAGCGGCCTCCAGCAGCTCCTTTAGCTCCTTCAGCATCGTTGCACTGCTGCTGGCAGAGTT